TTCGTACCAATGCAAGATTTTCCATCAGAATCCAGTTCATATCCGCTGGGACAGGAACAGATGTAACTGCCTGGTTTGTTAATGCAGGCATGATCGCAGTCCGCTGGTATATGCAACTCGAAGTCAAAAGGACTTGCCAGGGCGGAAAAAAAGTTCCCGGCACTGACTGTAGCACTGACTGTATAAAAAGGAATTGTAACAGATATAGTATGCAAATATAGATTAGATTAATTAATTTAACTCTGCAACAAGGAAGAGCTCCAGTATAGTCATTAAGAAGCTTTCGTCCATTGAGATCGGACATATTAGCATTAGGAGAGTTAGGGCGCTTTCTATTCAACCAAAAATTCCGGTTTGTATTTCCGAAAATTTCTGGCGGCGAATGGACCAGCATTCTCCGGAACTTCTGGAAAAGGGGACAACCTCGCGATCTTTACCCAATTTTTTGAAAATTTCTGTTAGATTTTAAATTTGCGGAATTTTTGGTTGAATGGTTCGCTTTACGAAAATTCAACAATTGTCGGATGTTCTGGAAACTTTCCCAGGAAATTTATGTACCATTTGTTCCCGTCACGGAATTTTCGGAAATTTTAGTTCGATGTAAAGCGCCCTTAGTTTTGCGGAGGGAAGAAAACCGTGAAAACTCGGCGGAGAATCGAACTCAGACCAAATTGATGGTGAGCGAGCGTTCTCCATTTCATCACCCAAGCTCCTCTCGATGGCTTTAGCTGTATTGTAAGTAGTTGAGATTTAAATGGGTAATTTCTGTATTGTAAGAGGTAGAGCTCAGAAAAATCTTTTTTTTTTTTTTCTTTTTTTGACTTTAATAATGTGCTCACATATTTTGCGCCAAATGTAGTGTCTTCTTGTTTGTCTAGCATGTGGTTCAAGGAAAAACAAAAGAAATTCAAGAGTGTAATGTGAATCCAAACAAAGTTTAACCATCTTATCTAGATCAAAATTCATCTGGTCTGAGACAATTGTTTCTTTGAACTTAATAACTTTGCAAAAAACGTCTTACCAGGCACATAAGAGGAAGCCGGCGTTGGGTTGATTGCTGTGAAGAAATAATATATTACATTAAAATAAGTTTAAGTTTAAGTTCAGAGATAAAGACAAATACTTCATGTCGGCTCTTCTTGAAAATGGTTTGGAACTCTTTTTAAATCAGTTGCTATATAAACAATAGCCTCCATTTGGC